AAAGCGAGAAGCAAGGGAACCTCTCTGTTTCTAGGAACACATTGATAATGGATTGTCATGTACATTGTAAATAGATGTCCCTGAAGGACACACTCCATGCTGGGAAGCTTAAGAGAGCCTTATTCTCTGCCTAAGGGCATTCTTAAGTCACCTCTTTCTTGGCCCCTGTCCTCTGGGGCTAGTGTGCCTGTCAGCTACCGAGGGATGGACCAGCACTGACCTGGGTACATGACCTTGTCAGCAAGCACTCCACAGAGGCACCTGCCCCCAGGTCTCTCACCAGCAGCTCAGCTCCAGCTGGTTTAGGCTTTGTTAGTGGAGATCTTTGTGTTTAAGGCATCTTTCTCTTTCACACCACTTTCCATCTCCTTACCTTGCAGCTTGGCCTGGCCGTCAGTTCTGCAGCTTTGTTTTGAAGGGGTTAGAAGGTGGTGCTGTGATTACATAGGTAGGTGGATCGTGGCTCAAACAGAGAATGATCACATTGGGAGGTTATGATAATGTGATCTCAAGTGTGCTTGTGAGGTGTTCAGGGAGAGCAGAAGCTAGTAGCACCTGGACTTAGAACTCACTGCTGTGTCTGTTCAGCCTGGGTTGGGAGAACCTGCCTGCCTAAGTGCCCTAGAGGTGCATGGTGCAGAGTTTCCAGCCCTAGAGACTGAGGAGATGAGGGCAAGTGGTCTTGCATCCTTCTCTCCCTGGGGTTTCTGCAGATCTGCAGTCTTGTGCCCCTATATCTTTAACAGGAGTGAGGGTGGATAACAGTGCCCCAGCAGTGGCACTGTTTTAGTGGCTTGTCCTTGACATGCTATGATCCTTTGTAAACCACAGCATTGTGCTGTTCTTTGCCCTGTGTTGCAGGCCGGCTTGCTAGGGATGCTGGTAGTAGATTTAGCTCCACCTGGGGACCCTCTCTGTGTACAATTTGGGGAGGTGTAATGAACGCAGATGGCCCCATTCACAGAGATGGGGGCTTTCTTCAGGCTGGTGGGACAAGGCAGTGCTTCTTAAGAGCCACATAGAGCAGTGAGTGGAGAAAGAAAAGCCACGGCCCAACTTGCTGAGCCTCAGTATCACGCTGGCTGCACCAGCTAGACTGCGCAGCCTTGGGTGCAGCGGGAAAATCGCCAGGCCACTCAGCATTACAGCAGAAACTTGCCCCAGGATGTGACCCTCCATTCCTGGCCTGCTGTGTCTGCATCTTCGTCCTTATCAACTATGTGGCAGATAGAACAAAGAATGTGTGTTTTCTTCCTTGCTGGTGTGCATAAGTGACCCAATTTTTCTGAACACCATTCTTTGTTCCCAACGCTCTGTCCTCCCCATAGGTATGGAGGAGGCTGGAGATAGAAGCTCTATAATAAGGCTTGATTAAGATCTCTTAACTGTTCCTCATCATGCAAATAAAGTTAGACACCAAACCTCTTTGTGTTTCTTTTTTAACCCCTTCCTTATAATTTGATAAAAATAACAATGAAATGATAATTATTTTAAGAATTGAGAATAATAAACCAATTAACAGTAACTAAGAGGGAAAAAACACCAGTACAGTCTTCAGCTCACAACTTATTCAAGTTATAATGAACTACACTTATGACCGTCTGGTTGTTTTTGGGGGTGGGGAGGTATATCTTTTCATTAGTAACATGTACTGTGGTACAGTGTTGCAGCACGTAAGTTGCTGATATTATTCTCATGCCAACTCGCAAGCATGAATAAAGATTGAATTTGTAAAGATACTGATAATAAAAGCCAATAATAATGAAAACAAAAAAAATAATAATAAAATGTATGACTTACGTCAGAACAGAACCCTGTCATAAGTTGGGTACTTCCTGTGTAACACGTCTATTATGTGTCGTGCATTATATCTAGATCTGTGCTGATTAGCATGGTAGTGATTAGACGTGTAGCTAGTTAAAATTTAAATAAAATTAAACTTTATTTAAAATAAAATAAATTTTATTTAAAATAAAACTTTTATTTTAAATAAAATTTAAAATTCAGTTTCTTAGTTGCACTAGCCCACATTTCAAGTATTCAAAGGCCACATGTGTTTAGTGGCTCCTGTGTTAACTGCACAGATACAGAACCCTTCCATCATCATAAAGTTCTACTAGACTGCACTGGAATTCAAAATAGTTCAAATGGTTTTCTACTTCCACACAAGAGCCTAGTGCCTCTTCCTGCAGTGTACAGTGATTGGGAGGAACATGTAAAGATGGAATAGGTGGGATTGAGGAGCTCCAGAATGTTTGAGAAGTGAAGTATTGGTTCACCTTGGCCAGCTCCAAAAAGGAGCTTATATATTGTCCTTATATATTGTCTCCCTCTTGAATCTTCAGTGACTGTCCTGAGTTTCTGGAAACAAAAAGTATCTGCAACTGAGTCATGACTTTATTATTGAGGTGTGAAACATTTCCAGAGGAGAGTACAGTACACCCAAAACACTCAAATTAAGTCAGAAGCCTTGTATCCCAGGCCTGGCTCTGCCACCAGCTAGGTCTGTACCCCTACCCTCTCTGGGCCTCTGGAACCAAGGAGCCTCTACATATTATTTATGGAGATCACCAAGAAGGTTGAACTCTGCAATTTCTGAGACCCCACCCGATGGTTTGATTTCACATTCCAGATTAAGCAGAAACAGGCTCTCCCCTTGGGGCCTGGCCATCAACCATATCCTTTTGTTCTAGAAATGTATGGTCTGGACTTGCCCAGTAGGTTCATTTTGGAGTTGAATCACCTCTTTGGATTTGTTATTTTTTTTAGCCTCCAACTCTAGGTCTTCTTTGGAGAGGAGAGTAGAAATGACTGGATCTTGGTTGAGGAAAATAAATGTATTTCCTAATAGTTCATTGCCCCAGAAACCTTTCTACTGACTGTTCCTGTACCAGGCACCTAGATTGTTGTGGTCCATAGAAGGGGCATCTCATGTCATCCACAAGCTGAGGGTTAGGATGGTCAAAAGAGGAAGTGTTAAAGCCTTTGGTAGGTTAAGGACAGGCAGACCTGCTTTTTACTTGCCCTTATTTGATACTGCTTGACCATACCCCACTCCTACCTCTGTACTTGGACCATGCAGGTGTTTCCATGATCCTGGAGGAGATCCTTCCTCTGTATTCCAGTACAGATCTGACACATAGCAGGCTCTCAGTAAATAGGAATGACATGAGGGAGTCCACGAACAAAATTAGAAACACTTTTGAGTCCAGTTGAAACACTGAACCAGCTTCTGCAAGGCTTTGGGGAAGGCAACACTTGAAAAGCACGTGTCGCCCCCCCCCTTTTTTTTTTTAATTGTGATTTGGGTAAAAGTTTACAGAGCAAATTCACTCTCCATACAGCAGCTCACCAGCCACTCGGAAGGAAGGTTGGGCAATCTACTTCTGTAGTAATACTGCCTCGGCAACTCAAGGAGGGGTCGCTATGAGTCCGGTCCGACTCAACAGCACATAACAACAGCGTCTCACATGCACTTTGTCTCATGACATTGACTACAGTTCACTGCAGTACAACAGCTCACTTCCCACTTCCTCCCCATAGTTAACTCTTCCCTGTGTCCTTCCCTCCATGCACTCCTGTCCCATGAGCTATCTCCCTGTACATATTCTCCCATAATTGTTCTCTCCAAGTAGTGTAGCTACCTAATGTAGATGTTCAACTCATATGCCTGTCTTTTGTTTGACTGGAGGCCACAGGAGTGGGTTTAATTCCAGACCTGAAGGGCAGCTAGGGGCCATAGTCTCAGTGGTTCCATCAGGCTCTATCAGACCAGCAAAACTGCCCCCCCCTTTTATTTTTTTTTAATGATTTTGAGTTTTGTTCCACATTGTTCTCCCACTCTATCCAGGATCTCCTACATAGATCCCCCTCCAACTAATTGTTACCATGCATCTTTGGTTTTCTTCATTCATCTTTTCTCTGGACGAGGAGAGACCCATTGTTGCATCTAGGTGGCCCCTTGCGAGCTTTTAAGATCCCAGTGGCTACTTGCCAAAGTAGGAGGTGGAACAATGTTTTGTGTAGTATATTATGCCACTTGAGCTTGATGTCCTCTGTGGCTGTGGTCCCAAGCCCACAGGTCCAACTACTTGCTCCCTCTGGGTAGCTGGCTGTGGCCACGAAGTGACTACAACCTCGTCCCTTATCAGCTCTACTATGTTGTTGTCGTTGTTGTTGTTGTTTGCCGTGGAGTTGGCCCCGACTCATAGCGACCCCTCCTTGGGTTTCTGAGGCAGTATCACTATGGAAGTAGGATTGCCCAACCTTCCTTCCGAGGAGTGGCTGGTGGGTTTGAACCGCCAGCCTTCTGGTGAGCAGTCAAGTGCCTTAGGCACTATGCTACCAGATCTCCCAGCTCTACTATATACCTGGGAATTTTTACAGAACATACCAATATACTTGTAGAGACATTATCTTCCAACCCTATACATGGTCTTGGGCACACTCCCTCCTGCATAGACATACCTCATAGTTCAGCCTGTCCACCCATCTATCCACTTGTATATCCATGTTTGCCTTCACTGACAACACAGTACTTTATGGAAAAGCACGTGGTTTTAGCCATTTTCAATACCTGTGGACTTGTCCCCGACCCAGCACCTCCCAGTTGCTGCTCCATAGAGTACTTGTTGAAAATAGGAACACGTGGCAACACACCCACTGAATCAGATTATCTGGGGACAAAGCTCAGGTATCCATTTTTCACAAACAGTCCAAATAACCAGCTGGGTTTGGGAGCCGCAGTGCTAGTTTATCATCCTTTTGGAGAGAGAGAGATCCTCTTGGATATGCCTCCTGCTTGAAGAAATTAAGCTCCAGTCACTTCCTGGAGCACGTCAGATCCCACCTCCATTTCTAGGGGGCCACCCAGGAGCTTCGCCCCACCCTCCCCACTCCAGTACTACCTGTCAGACCTGAGCTGGCAGGAGTGTAGCAAGAAGAGAGGAGGGTGGTTCTGAAGCAGGCAGGGCTTCCTGCTAGTGCTGGGCTGCCCAGCTATGCTCTGGGCACTCTGGCCAGGATGGTTGGCAGGCAGGGGGCTGCCCCTCCTGGGGGCGGTGCTACTGCAGAAGAGAGAGAAGAGGGGACCTCCGTGGAGGCGCTGGCGGGTAAAGTACCAGATCTCACTGGGGAATAAGGTCTGGGAGATGCAGTCCCCTGTGAGGACTGACATTAAATATTAACTCCAGCCACGGGATTGGGTTGATCTGGGGTGGAACCTATTTGTTCTAGACAACCTTGCATTAAAGAGATTGGCCAAGACCTCAGCTCCTGGATATAATCCCCCACTTAGGGAATGGAAAGTGAGGTCATGTGGCACTTGCATTGGTTGGTTGGTTTTTGCCAATGATGCCTGAGCCTGGCTATAGAGTCCATTGGGGGAAGAAGCTGTGAGGAGTTTACTGGGATTTTGAGGGTATAGTTTCACTTTGAGGAGTCACTGAATGGTACAAACAGTTAAGTGCTTGACTACTAGTCACCCAGAGGTGCCTAGGAAGACAGGCCTGGTGATCTGCTTCAAAAAGGTCACAAGCCTTGAAAACCATATGGAATGCTGTTCTACTCTGATACACGTGAGGTTACCATGAGTCAGAATTGATTCAGCAGCAACTAACAAGTTTCACTCTGAGGAGCCTGCAATCAATGTTATATCTCTCCAGAACCCAAACTGCAGTCTCCTTAAGATTGGTCAGCCCTTTACAAACTGGGTGACGCTTGGCTTCCCTTCAACTGTCTGCTGCTTCCTGAAAGTTCTTTCTTTGGCAGGGAGATGGGTGGGGTGGATCACAACTTTATCTTTCAATATTTAATATTAAGCATATAACTCCAGCTCTCACTTCTGCTCTCAAACTACACTCTAGTCTGATGGGGCTGGAAATTTGTGGTGAGTAATAACTAGTACTAATGGTACATATTTAGAGTGCTTAGCTCAGGTACTTCATATAAATTCTCACTTAAAACTCACCATGACTCTGAGATTATCATTATAAACCCGTACTTTATTGATGGGAAAATAGAATCACAGAAAAATTAGTGCCTCAGGCTTCTCAACTAGTCAATAGTGGAGTCTAGGTTTGGATCCAGGCCTGACTGATTCCAGGGTCCAGGCTCATTGCCAGTGTGAACTCCAACTCCTGGGCCCTGCCAACGTGTCCCAGGTCCCCAGCACAACTACACCATGACCCTGGGCCAGGCTGCTGCTTTATGGTGGGAGTGGGTCAAGGGAAACACAAGCTGGGCCCTATTTCAGGGAGGAGACGGGGCACCATTTCTTCTGGGAAATGAGTTCCCAGATTTCTGTTGTTTCAGTGGGAAACACACCCATACTATGACCTCCAGGTGAAGGTGCTGAGGGCCAGGAATATCCAGGGCACAGACCTGCGTGAGTGACCCCCATCTGTACCTTCCCCTTCCTGTCCCTGGGGCCAAGCCTGAGCTCAATGAGGCAGGCCCTGATTTGGGGTGTTTGTGTAGGGGAAGTGGAGGGTGGAGGGTCTGGTGAGGAAGCACGGCTGGGACTGGAGGGGGAGTGTGTAGACCCTGTTCTCATCCTTGAGTCCAAGAAGTGGAGCAGCATGAGCCCAGGTGAGTGTGAGGCCCCTCTTGCCTCAAGTCAGTGCCTGCTGTCTGGGAGCTCCTCATGCCAATGCCCAGAGAGCAATTTTATCACTTGAGTCAGGTACTTTCCAGGAGCTACTCGATGCTGCTACGTGGTTGGTTCAATCAGCTGCTGCAGGATTTATGGCTTTGTTCTGTTGAGTGGGAAGTGTAACTGGTCAAGATGGAGTCACAGGACACTAACACCTCTTCCCCATCTCCCCACCACACCCTACTATGGGAGCAGCCCCCTCTCCCCCCTCTGTTTCTGCTCCTCTCCTTCCTGCCCCAGCCTCCTCCAGGAAACCCTTTCAGCAGTAAGAGCTTGAAACTCAGGTCCCCTCCTCTTTCCTACCTGCAGTTTCCAAAGCCGACTGCTACGTGCAATTGTGGCTGCCCACAGCATCTCCCAGCCCTGCCCAGACAAAGATGGTGGCCAACTGCAATGACCCTGAGTGGAACGAGATCTTCCAGTACCAGATCCATGGTGCTGTGAAGGTTAGGGCCCGCAAGGGGTGATGGCTGTGGCGGGAGAGGGCTCCTCCAGCATGCCTACCTTCCTGCCTTGCTCAGGCTCCCACCTGCCTTGTTCCTAGAATGTCCTGGAGCTCACCCTCTATGACAAGGATGTTCTGGGCAGTGACCCACTCTCCTTGCTTCTGTTTGACCTGAGGAGCCTCAAGCTTGGCCAACCCCATAGGCACACCTTCCTACTCAACAAGCAGGTGAGCTGCCCCCCCCCACACACACACTTCCCGTGTGCCAAGGTCAAGGAGAGAAGGCCTAGAGCTGGGGTGCTGATGAAAGGCTTCTAGCCAAGCCTCCAAGACACACACTCTTCTGTCTGCAGCACTGACCCCATAAAGTTTCCCTCCAATACTACTTCCCCATGTAAGAAACCAAGAGGTGAGCCCCATGAGGGCAGAGCTTTGGCTGTCTTGGTCACTGCTGAGTCCTCAGTGTGTAGTACAGTGTCTAGCATACACTTTTGAATGAACAAAAGAGTGAGGCTCCGTCTGGAGGTGTCACTGTCCCTCCTGTGCCCATGAGGATCCACAACAACAGTTTCTTCTTCTGGTTCCTGGAGCAGGGCTGGGGGTCAGGGACATAAACTCTCGGGGGACAGATAGTCCCTAAGACAGAGTTCTTTGTAAAATTGCTGCCCTGCCCCCTCCATGTAGGATTCACAAGAGCTGCAAGTGGAATTTGTTCTGGAGGAGAGGTGAGTCCAGGTTGAGCCCATATCCTTCCATTTGGTCTGAGATGCACGGAGATCTGTTATGGCAGCTCCCAGCTACCAGCTACCAGTTACGGTGCCCCGGTGCTGGCCTTGCAGGCCTGGCCTGAGGGGATATGGCCTAGTCTTGAAGTCCAATTGCATGTTGTCTGACAAGCTCACCCTACCTTCAAGCCTGACAACATCCCCTAGGCTCGTCTAGCTGCTATGGTCACATTATTATAGTAACAACCATCAGGAGGTAGCCAGTGAGGAGGGCATATGTTCCATGAGACCTTCATCCTTTGCAGCCAGGTACCTGCCTCTGAAATCATCACCAATGGAGTCCTGGTAGTGAGTAGAGAAGGGAAACCTGGGGTTGCCTATGGCTGGGAGGGGGGCAGTGAGACATCTCTATTGAGTCCAATTGTGCCTAGACTCTAGCCTCTGAAAGACTCAACTTCTCCTCAGAGGGAAATGTGCTAGGAAGGTCTCTCCAACCATGAGCGACAAGAAGCTGCCTTATGTCTAGATGTACAACTCAGAACCCAGCTTTCCTACCTTGTGGTGATGTAGACTAACTACATATTCACAGCACATTATTTATTTGGGGCACAGGCTACTCAGACTACCAAAGGGGCCACCATCATGTTCCCTCATCCTATACTCCCTTTCCCACCAGGGGCCATTTCCTCTGAGTTCTGGGAGGAAAAGCTGAGTGTAACCTTGGGGCCAGCTACAGAGACCCCTGCCCATAAGAGATAGGCCCTGGGAGGGTTGTTACCTGGCCCCTGCTCCAAATACCCCTCTCTCCCTCCATCTTGGGCCACATGGTGAGGCCCTGTGGCTATTGGCTCCCACAGGCCTCTTTTCCCTCAGGCTCAGCCTTGTCTGAGAATCCAGGGTACCCTCGGGAGACATGAGACAGCCCCACATCGAGAGTACGGTAAGTCTGGTCAGTGGCCTTGGGTCTTGCCTTCTCTCCTGGGGGCTGGGAGTACTGGTTTCAGGGAAGTGGGTCTGGGAGAGGAATTCCTGGAAACTGTTACTGCTCAAAACTGACTGAGGATGGAATGAGTTGCTCCTGGAAGTAGTGAATTTCCCATTCCTGGAAGTATTCAAGCATAGAGGCAGTCAAATGACTGCTCTACACAAACAACCACAAAATCTCAGTGGCATATAACAGTAAGCATTTCTTTAGCTCACACATCCAGTGCTCAGCTTGGGTTTGGCTGAGCTTGGCTGGGCTTGGCTGGGAAGACCTAGCTTAGTCCCTGTGTCTTTCATCCACCTCCTGCCGCCAGTGAACTAGCCTGGTCATGTTTTTAAAGTAACAGCAGAGGTGCAAATGAACAAGCACAATTGAATGAGTGCATTTCATGCCTTTGGTCACATAATGGCCACTAACTAACATTTTATTGGTCAAAACAAGTCACATAGCTGAGCCCACAGTTGGGAGTCAGGGAATAGACTCAGCCTCTTTAGTGGGAGGAACTGGAAAATCACATGGCAGAGGGAGAAGTGAAGTATTAGGGCCACTGAGGCTATCAACCTCAGAGGGCAGCCACTTAGGAGGAGATTCTGATGTGAGATTGGAGCTTGGGCAGTGTGAAGCTAAGGTTGCTTCCAGTGCTGAGTGTCTGATCATGTTCCAAGGTAACACTGAGTACCTACTATGAGTCAGGCACTGGGCTGCGCATTTTACATTTGTTTTATCTTTTAATTCACATTAACAACCCTGCAAGGTAGGTACAATTATTGTCCTCTTTTAATTCCTGAGAGTCCCTGCATGGTACAAATGGCTAACGTGCATGACTGTTAACATGCAAAAGGTTGGTAGTTTGAGTTGATATGAACACCCACAAGCCTATATGAGGTACTTGGCCAGAGTACAGAGGGGCTAAGGTGGGGTCAAGTCCTAGAAATATATTTTGTGTAGAAAACCTGTAGAACTAGAAAACTGAACTGGATCTGCCTGCCAAGAACAATATTGTTCTTTGTTTCCAAACCCCTTCCCCGCAAAAAAAAACCCCACTGCCATCAAGTCATATTGATCCTATGGGACAGGGTAGAAATGCCCTATAGGGTTTCCAAGGCTGTAAATCTTTACCAGGGCAGACTGCCTCATCGTTCTCCCTTGGAGCAGCTGAATTCTTTCAAAAGAATATCGTGTGACTGTTCTGTGAACCCCTTATGGTCGCTAAGGGTGACTAATCAACAAAGCATAAAACTAAATATTAACTATCTTACCTCACCAAACACCAATCAGAATGTAGTTCGCTTGTTTCCAAAGAATCTTTTACACAAACAACTCATCTCTATGGCTTGTTCCCAAGGAGCCTTAAAACAAACTGTAAGCCACCAATCCAGAGTGCTCACATGCCCCTGGTAAACTGTAAAGATCACTGTAAAGATTTGCCTTTGACAATAATATATTCATGAATAACCAGTCATAATTGTTCTCCACTTCCTTCTGCAACTGTAATTCAGTGAATCCTGCTAGTCTCTTGTGTGATGTATACCAGCAGAGCTCGCATTTGAATGATTGTTTTGTCTTAGCTTAATAAAAATCGCTTTCAATTAAATTTAAGCCTAGGGTCTTTCCGCCCAACCACAGAGCCCACCCAGAGATTCCTGGGAAGAAAGGTCTGGGATCTGCTTCTGAAAAATCAGCCACTGAAAATCTTGTGTAGCACAGTTCTCCTGATAGAGCCACTATGACAGAGCAAATTCACTTTCAATACAGCAGTTCACATACACATTGTCTCATGACATTGACCACAATTCACCACAATACAATAGCTCCCCTCTCACTGCCTCCCAACAGTCACCTCCTCCCTGTGTCCATCCTTCCATGCACTCTTGCCCCCTGAGCTGTCTCCCTGTGCATATACAGCCCTTCTTTCTCCTATGATTGTTCTCTCCAAGGAGTGTATCTACCTCAGGTAAATGTTCAACTCATATGCCTGTCTTTTGTTTGGCTGGAAGCCACAGGTGTGGGTTCAATTTCAGACCTGAAGGGCAGCTAAGAGCCATAGTCTTAGTGGTTCCACCAGGCTCTATCAGATAGCAAACCTGGTCCCCTTTTTTTTTTCCAAATGATTTTGAGTTTTGTTCTACATTGTTTTCCCTCTCTATCCAGGATCTCCTACATAGATCCTTCTCCGAGTGGTTGACAGTGGTAGCCAGGCACCAAATAGTTCTTCTGGTCTCATTGTTGCGTAGGTTGCAGATCGCATGGTGTACAAATCACTAGGACTAATTGTTTCCATGAATCTTTGGTTTTCTTCATTCTTCTTTGCTCTGGATGAGGAGAGACCCGTCGTTGTATCTAGATGGCTGCTTGCGTGCTTTTAAGATCCCAGTCGCTACTTGCATAAGTAGGAGGTGGAACAATGTTTTGTGTAGTATGTTATGCTAGTTGAGCTTGATGTCCTCTGTGACTATGGTCCCGAGCCCACAGGTTCAACTACTCAGTCCCTCTGGGTAGCTGGCTGGGAACAAGAAGTGACTACACCTTGTTCCTTGTCAGCTCTACTATACACCTGGAATTCAGATCATACAAATATACTTATAGGACCATTGTCTGCCAACCCTATCCATGGTCTTGGGTACACTCCACTCCCTGCTTCATAGATACACCTGATAGTTCAGCCTGTCTACCCATCTACCCACCCGTATACCCATGTTTTCCTTCACTGACAATGCAGTACTGTATGTGCAAAAGGGCTTTGTTGTCTATACCTCCCATGAGCCTCTATATGTCTTCCTCAATGTCACCATGTTGATCACTCACATTTGGTACATTGCCCTTCTCTTCACCCAAATCAATACTTGTCTCTACCTATCTAACAGTGAGCAACTGGGTTTTAATTCACAATGCAGGTTGAAAGAAGCAATTTGCTTCAGGTCACATAGCCAATAAGTGGTAAAGCCAGGACTGGACTCAGATTTGTGATACCCCAGGGTCCATTGTCTTAAATTCAAGATTATGTTTTTGTTATGAATGTTCTTTTTGTGTGTCATTGAGGCGATTCCATCTCATAGTTACCCTATAAAACAGAGTAGAACTGTCCCATCGGGTTTCTTAGCTGAAAACTTTATAGGAACAGATCACCAGGTCTTTTTTCCTGCAGTGGCTGGTGAGTTTCAACTGGTGACTTTTTGGTTAGCAGCTGAGCACTGAATGGTTGCAACACCAGGGCTTCTTTTACCCCAAATACCACATATCAATTTCATTCCATAAACTTTTGTGTGAAAGATTTCCTTATTTCCTGTAATTCCCTTCCACCCCAGGTCATGTCAAGTCTCCAGGTCTCTATGCTGAGGGTATGTTGGGAGAAGGATCCCATCTGAACCTCTGCTCTTGAGTCTCTGCCATCCCTGGTCCCTGAGGCAACCTCAGATCTCTGTTGCTTCCATGTCACGCTTAACAAACCAAACCAAACTCACCACCATCAAGTTGATTCTGACTCATAGAGATTCCCTTTGGGCTTCTGAGGTGGTAAATCTTTATGGAAGTAGATTGCCCAGTTTTCCTTCCATGGAGTGAATGGTGGGTTTGAACTGCCAGCCTTCTGCTTAGCAGTCAAATGCCTTAGGCACTACGCCACCAGAGCTCTTTCATGTCATGCTTATTGTTGTTGTTGTGTGCCATCAAGTCGGACCCAACCCCTCCCTGGGTTTCCGAGGCAGTATCACTATGGAAGTAGATTGCCCAACCTTCCTTCCGAGGAGTGGCTGGTGGGTTTGAACTGCCAGCCTTCTGGTTAGCAGTCAAGTGCCTCAGGCACTATACCACCAGAGTTCCCACGGTTAGGGTTTGGTAATCTTTTGTGAGACTGTCTATGGTCCCTTGGCCTGGATGTCATGCACAGTTGTTACTCTCTGGGCTTTTGCCTCCTCCTCCAGAAAGCTGCTAGGGGCTGGGTCCCTGCTGCTCCTTGGCTCACAGACCTCTCCCTTCCCCTCCTTCCGGCAGGGGCTCACCTTCTAACCTGAGCTGCTTCTCCTCTGCTCCTCTAAGACATACATTCTCTCTGTACCCATGAGTCTCCCCTTCTTCTTCATCTTCTTCTTCTTTTTAATTTTTTTTTTTTTTAATTCTTGCAGTGTTCTCTCCCCTCTCCCCTGTAAGCAACAAAGAAAGTTTTCTTCCATATATAAGCCTTTCCTTGACTTTTTACTAATGAACTAATACAATATTTGTCCTTCTGTAATTGACTTATTTCACTCAGCATGGTATCCTCCGAGTTCATCCATGTTATGAGGTGTTTTGCAGATTCTATGTTATTCTTTAGTGTTGCATAGCATTCCTTTGTGTGTATGTATGGATAACAGTTTGGTTATCCATTTGTGGTAGTTAAGTTTGTGTGTCAACTTGGCTGGGCCTGGTTGAGTGGCTGGGCAGCTGGATGTAGTATTCCCCATGATGAGACTGGTAATCAACTCCGTGGTAGAATCTACTGTGAGCAGCTGAATAGCTGCCTTAGGGCTGTGGTCTGCTTCCTGTATATAAGGAGAAGCCTTGGGGAATGGTCTCTAGCTTATGGCACGCTTGAACCCTGTATGTAGCCATGTCATTTGTTCAGCAGCCTGCCATGCTCTGCTGACCTTGGGACTTTCAATGGACTTGAATTAATGGTCTGCCGTGTGGTTTGGTAACATAGGGACTGTGCCTTTTTACTTGCTGACCATGGGTTCATCAGCCTCAACAACCAGCAGCTGAGTGAAGAAAATCCTCCAGCTTCAGTGGGTTGGGAGCAGGAGGCAGGACTGAAGCCCAAGGCTAAGGGGCTTTCATTCAGCCCCTAGAGCCTGGCACTTTGAACTCAGACTTAAAGCCTCCAAACTGTAAGAGAATAAACTCCTGTTTCTTCAAGCCATCCCATTTGTGGTATATTCCTGTCAGAGCAGGTAATCAAAACACCATTCTTCTGTTGATGG